TCAGCCGGGTGAAAATTAAGTGCGACCTCTCTCCAATGGCACTATTGTCTCCGATAGCTTAAGGATAAAAATACCTGTATTAAGCGCTCAGCCGATAGGGAGCGCTTCTTAATTTCAATCTGCTTCTTGAATTCTAGTACACTGGAAAAAAACACACATTGGATCTAGAGTTCAGACACTTAAAAACATTGACAAGAAAAAATACTGTTGATCCAATCAGATTTAAGCTTAAATCAAGAACCAAGCCTCTTAATTTGAGCGGATTTCCTTTTGATTTAAGCTTGAATCGGATTGAATCAAGAGTCTTTTTTCTTGTCAATGTTTTCAAGAGTCTGGACTCTAGATCCAATGTGTTTTTTTTCCAGTGTATATACTGGTGGCGAAGCGTTCATATGGTGCACCAGCTCAAAAACAAGATGACGAATAGGGGCCTATTATATTCAGAATAGATTAAGCTGTGATACCTTTATTTAGTGCTTCTGATGTCAAAAATTAAAAAGACGATAATCGATTTTCTATAATGTATTTTTTAGGGGTGGTGTAGTTTTCTCGAAGTTGGTAGTTGACATTTTGGCGAGCTAGTTCTTTCGTCTCAACGATGCTCAACTGCTCATCCTCTTCTGGGAGCTTAAAAATGCTCCTTCATAGAAATCGGCTGAGCGCCTCTCTAATACGAATATAGAATAGATAGAAATATAGAAATATGAATAAAAATATAGAAAAATAGAATGGAGCTTTCCCGCTTGTTTTTTTTTTAGAATGCTATCAACAATCCGCGTTTGATCTTAATGACATCTAAATTGTTCATATCATCAAGTAAAAAATTCGGGGGTTTCAGAAAGTTTCAGAGCAAAAAGCCTTTAAAGTTCCAAAAAAATGTTTCGAGGTGTTTAAAAAAATCTTGTCAAATACTTTCAACATTTAGAAAAGCTGCTATGGTAGGAATATTAATTTTTGTTGATTCAGAAGAAAAATTATAATAATAATACACAACAAAACCGGAAAATTTAAACACATAGCAAGCGAATTTCCATCGGCACACGAATAATTGTACTCAGTGTCATTGACTGTTTGAACCCTTAGATGCCTAAGTCGGGTAAAATTGACCCGAGCCATGCTAGAAACTCGTATCTCCAGAAGGGTACGTATGAGCCTTAGATATTGGTCTACAAATACATCGTAAAAAATGACTGAACATCAATTTGACAAAAGAAGGAGAAAAACTCGAGTTTCAACACGGCCGAAGATGTTCGCTCACATTTCTCTTGAGGCACTACCGCAAATAAGGAAAACGAAAGGACATTATGGAAACAGAGAGAGACATAGAGAGAACAAGATTTGATGACGGCGAAGAGATACAACTATTCGTGTTTGATGGATGTCCGTGTTGCATCTGCAAAATTGAAGGCGTGATCGGGCCTCGATTTTTAACTTTTCTGAGGATCGCTTCATTGTCAGCATAGAGCGGAGCATTGCGATATTGTGAGTGTATCTCGTCTCGCGCCATCGCGCCTTCAATTTTGCAGATGCAACACGGACATCCATCAACCACGAATAGTTGTATCTCTGCGCCGTCATCAAATCTTGTCCTCTCTATTTCTCTCTCTGTTTCAATAATGTCCTTTCGTTTTCCTTATTTGCGGCAGTGCCTCAAGAGAAAAGTGAGCGACTCGTGTTTACTTGGGTACTTTCTGTGTCATTTTTTAGCAAAAAATTTTCCTAAACTTTTCACATTAGAATGATGCTAAATGTTCTTTTTAAAGAGTGTAACCGAGAATAACACGGAAAGAAATTAAATGTTGATTTAGCATTTATACTGTTAAAAAGATGTCCGACAAGTTTCTAATGCTGATTTTACATTTTAACAAATGCTAACGTAACTACGCCCACTGCAACACGTACAAAATAAAATGTTATGTTAACATTTTTGTATTGTAAAATCAGCATTTGAAACTTGTCGGATATCTTTTGTTCGGTAACAAATCTAGGTTAATTCCAATATATTCCATGACACAGTATTTAATGTGTACATCCTCTCCTTGTTAGGATTTGTCAGAAGCATTATACTCGTTTGGAATGTCTGTAGAAATATTTTACCAATTCCTCGCGCGAGTAATATATGAATATAGATTTGGGGAACAGAGTTCCTCTCGCCACAATTCCAAGTCACTGAAGCAGAGACGAGGAAAAAAGTGGCTTTCACGGATAATCGACTCCAAAGAATTTGAATCGGACAGCCCAAAAGCCCTCCAAGGCTTCGTTGATAGAGTATTCTGGGTCCTGGACTTGTAACATTTATAACTTTGAGCCCTCCACCCCGCTGCCTCGTCATCGAAGCATTAAAGGACTTTGCTGCAGTGCTAAGGAAGAACGCCGTATGATCCTTTGGATGATGACAAATTTCATTCGATAAAATACGAACTTGCAAGGAAACCTGTGAATATTTCTGCCGTGCTAAGGAAGAACGCCGTATGAACATTCGAGAGTTGCAAAATTTCCTACGATAAAATATTTATTTTGGGGGAAAATTGTGAATATTTTTCCTTGAAATTTTCAGACGCTTTAGATCGAATTTCAGACAAAAGTACCTGAGAAATTGGCAGAAAAATATTCAAAAATTTTCTGAAAATGAGTGATTTGCCAGAGGAAATTTGGCAAAGCCCGAAGGTTCATATGGCGTTATCCTTAGCACGGCAGATTTGTCCTCGAATTTTTTTGGAGAATCTCATTTACGGACGAATCTAGATTATCTGGAAAGTTCAAGGGATATTATTCATAACTCTCCGCAAAAACAAACATTTTACCGAAGAAAATACGAATATTCAAACGGTATTTTTCCACTCTTTTGTATCTATTCTCTTGGCGGAGTGTCGCACGCTGGTACATACGGTGCTAATTTCACTTCGCATTCATATCACTCAGGGTTTTTGGGCACCATGTAGACTCCGGCACCGAATTTCACACCTAGAGTTTCAACAGTGCGGTTGACTTAAAGAGAATTCCCGTCCGAGGATTGAACTACATTTTTTAATTAGGAACTGTAATATCCGTCTCAGTTTAGAAACAACGTATACTCCATCAGCTACCCTATGCACAAATGTGTTTTTACCGCTGAGCCAGGAATTGTAGTTCCGAATTGCAGAATGCAGTCCATTTATTAACCGGAAAATTGGACTGTATTTTGCAATTAGGAACTACAATTTCTGGCTCAGATTAAAAACAACGTATTTACCATTATTTTCCCTAGATAAACATACGTGCTTTTACGCACAAGCCGGAAATTTAAGTTCCTAATTGGAAAATGTAGTCCAATTGTGCCAATTGTACTCATCCTCCCGGTTTATGGATTCGTCCGAGACATAACGCTTGCTGCGGGTGGCCCGGCCGGGCCGCCCTGCGCACTAATTTGAATAATATCTTGTTCTAGGAAAATTGAACTCGGAACAAAGACATCTCATACATTCGGTTATTAGATCCCTCACCCAATATTCAAATTCTGTTTGATCCGTCTTAATCCGGAGCGCACAGCAGACCGAAAAATATATTCCCGCGCTGCCAGCTCTGAAAAGACACTCGAAGCTTAACAATTAACGTTTTGTACCAGAAGGAGGTGGTGATTTATTGCGGGAGTCCAAAAACTGAGTGGAGGGAGGGGGTCAGGGTATCCTTTCTTATGTAACCAATAACTCCGCTAACGAATGCGAGGAGGGTTTTAAACGGGGCACTCTCGATGTCCCGCACCGTAGCAAAATCGGCGTCGCAAAATCCCCCGATTTTTCCCGCGGGAAATTGATACGCGGTGCACGGATTTTTACCGGAGATCCAGCAGCGTCGGAGGTCCAGGCCCAAGGCGTGATGGGCGATCAATCAACCTGACGCACCGACTCGTGATTCCAGATCAATCTCCCTCCCGTTCCCCCCTCCCGTTCCCCCCTCCCTCTCCCCCCTCCCTCCGCTACTCCCGAAAGCGCGGCGGATAGTAGGGGCAGTCGTAAATAGTCCGTGGTCAACCGTTTTTGTTGTCGAGCCTGTGGCCTGCACGAATAAATGAAGGGGCCTTTAACACCACACCGGCAAAGCGCATTGATGAATTGCCGGCTAAAATTTAAAATCATTGAATAAAGTTGAAAGGAATATATGGATGTATTTCTATCAAACGGAACTATGTGCATTAAGACATGTGCCCTGAGACCCATAAGAGTACACGGAAAAAAAGAGGTAGGGGTTAAGTCCCAATTGTTGGATGATATGGACATTTCCAATTAATTGTGGTAGTATCCAGATAAATTAGGTTGCTAACCCAAATGTTGCGATACTACCTCAACTTGAGTTGCGGTGCCACCAACATTAATTGGAAATGTCCATATCATCCAACATTTGGGTAGTAGAATTATTTTGGGGGATAACCCCTGACACTTTTTTTCCGTGTATGTGTATAATAGGGCTTACGTCATAATGCACTTACTTCCGTTTGATAGAAATACATCCATATATGTGCCGAAGGCAGATAGTCAAATCAGGCATTTTGTCAAATACCTAGGCAAATAATTAAATATTCTTACTTAGATTGTAATTTTGATTTTTATCCTAATTTTAGACGAAATATTTCGTTGCTCCTGTGAGAAAGAATTCTTTGTAAAATTATGCAGCATACAATAGTATTTTAAACGATTTTAAGATCCTGAATGCACATTTATCATGAAATTTTCAGCACGTCATAAAACATAGAATTTTTAATATTTTAACATTTAAATTCACCAGAGGCATGTAAAAAGGAAGGGATAAGGAGAGTTCGCGGATTTGAAGAGTTATTCTTCCCAAAATATTGAAAACCCGTGAACTCCTCGCCGTAAATTTAGAGAGTTCCGTAAAACGTCAAAATTTGACTGCCAGCCTAGGCATTGGTTAAAATGTCTGATTTGACCATTTGCCTCCGACATATGCACGTTTCACAAAAAGAGGAGCAGACAAAGTGACAAGGTTTGGCTAGAATGACTTGCCTGAAATGAGGACAACGATTATCCAGTAAATTATCCTCATATTGCCATGGTTGGTGGGGCGTGACTCCTTGGTATCATGGTCACGTGATCATCTTATCCCATTGCAGAATTCAATAGTCTGAAATCAAATAAAAATTTGAATTAAAATCAATCGCACAATTGCAACAAAAGGTCAAGACTCGTTTGCGAGAATGAACCGAAAAAAACGAGTGGCAGTGAAAAATCAGTTTGTAGGTATCACGGGACGATGTTGGTTACTTAGATTAATCATTATACACCTGTACTTTGTAGATTTACAACTGCGTTGGGTAATACTCATAATAAAATTACAAATCTATGATGTACGTTACGGTCGACAGTATACCTCGTTTTCTCTAAAATGGCCTGTTATAATGAAAAAGATAAATAGTGTTGGGTAAGGGAAAGTTGAGGTCCTTTCAAAGGACTCATCTAAAAGTCATCAAATAATCGTATCTCAATTATGAATGATTAAATATGAATTAGCTAAAAACAATGATATCAATAGGATTGTCAGACACAAAGATGATACGGTGATGTGACACAAAAAACGGAGCATGACATAGTTTACCTCAATCCTGTCGATAATTAACCCACACAATTTCACACTTTGCTTCTTGTGAAAGAATCTTATCAGAATAAGTAGACTTTTAATTCCGAGATTTTTTCCTCGAGAAAAAATGGGGGACTTTATCCTTACTCTCAAAGAATCACTGTAATCCATCGGAATGAAAAGAACGGAAAAGTAAACGACAGGTTCTTAATGAAAACTTCGGTGACGGGAGACGAGTTGAGGTTTCTAATTAACTCATTGAGCAGGTCAGTGATACGGTGCTAACTTTAAAAGAGGTAACACCTTGAATTATTTATTTTTCCATTAATCGGACAGATTCCGATGAGTATTTTTACGGGGAAACCGAAGGTGGCTTTTGAATAATTATATCTCGTACTTTGGAAATTCTCCTAGGTGAGTTTTTTCAACTATCGTTCGGTCTACAGATTCTCTCCTCAGGAAATCGATATGATCCATGAACATTTGGTTTCCGTATCATACGCTTTAACATATAATCAGTATAGCATGTCACGCTATTCATGTCACAAACCGGTTGAAGGATGATATTCTAAAGATGATTGGTTCTATTATATGAAGGAAAAACAGCCGACTGATTCATGGAATTTATGGACAAAGCTATAGACAAAGAAGACAAAAGGGATATGAAGGGATCCTGTTGGTGCGAACGGATAATTGCAATGGACAGAGGAGCTAGGTAATTGACTAACTAACGGCAACTCACGAGAGACCCTATAGTTGGTCCATCATTTACCCCCTTAGTCGATGAGAACCACCCATTTCAACCAATAGAATCACTTCATACTTCGTACGTCTTCTTTGCCTATCGTTTTGTCTATCAATTTCAACAATCAGTCCGCAGAAGCAGATATTTTTAAACACCACACCCGAGATACGTGGTCTGGTAGTTTCACCATTGATGCTCAACCCTCTTATGAAAGGGAGGTGTTTAAGGAACGACAATGAGTGCGGCCCTAATCCTCGGTGTTTTTAATAAGATTTCAGCGCGAAGAAATGAATAAGTGGCGTAATCAGGAGTTTGCCGAATGGTAGCTTCTGCGCGAAAAAGGGTGCGGGACGGTGCGGTGGTGCTTAGGCTACAATCTGATGCTCGTTAAATCTCAATATATCAGGCTCTGGATGATAGGAACTCCCTCGGATTATCTCCTAATGCGCAGGATTCCGGGCTTTCAAATCTTGTCATCAGCCACTGAAAGTGCGTCTTGATAGATCTCCGTCGGGTCCTTCCGGCGCAACTCGCATCCGCCGGCAAACGCGCTTACTCCGCCATCCCGCACAGTGGATCCAGTCAATGGACCACTAGACAAGGTACGAATTTCAGCATTCTGATACTTACATGTTTCTTATTCAAAATTTCACGTAAAACACGATACGCTCAACGAAAATTACCGAAATCAATACCTTACGAAGATATTTAATGATTCTTAATGCGTGAATTCAAACCATCCGCTCATGAAAACTCAATGCTCTTCGTGATTCTCATCGAGCGCTGAACGTTATCATGACAGTTTCTGCGATATAAAAATCTGGCAACCTCAATCTTGACACTTTGGCTCAGCTATAGCAAATTGCTTATAGTTTGAACAACACATGGTGGGTTATGAACAGTGATCGATTGAGAGGCTAGCTGAAACTGTTGTGGTGCGCGATTTGACTCACGTAGAGCTTTGAGTTTCTTGTGAGCGGGCAGTTCAAAATCCGCGTAACCAATGTGAAATAAAACGGTTAATATCTTCATCAGGAGCTGGTTTCAGTAATTTTCGTTGCGCGAATCGTGTTCTACGTGAAATTCTGGTTAAGAAACATGTATCAGATTGCTTGAATTCGTACCTTGTCTAGTAGTCCATTAGAGGGGTCGGACATTAGATTCTTGACTAAAACTCCAAATTTTCATGTTTATTTCGCCGTGTTTTAAATTCCAAGGAGTGCCTACGAAAGAAAATGACACGAGGAAACCATTGGAACCACTTTAAGAACCTCAAAGTTTTGTATAAACGGAATTATAAGTGTTCAAAGTTTCTAAATGTTGTCCAACCTCTTGTATTGACTCGATCCTTTGTGCTCCGTGACTCGGGTGCTTCCGCGGTGTAGTAACCACAGATATCACAGTTTATCAGACGAAAAAATCCAAACTCCATTTTAGGATTGCCAAATTTTTACCTATGATTTTTTTTTTTTTTTTACCGGGAAACTGTTGGGAATTTCTGACCAAAGATCCCCTTGATTTTTGCTCTGATGACGAGGAAAAATTATTGAAATTTTCACGTCACCTTTCAGCCATTAGAGCGTCTTTTTATTCTTCGACCGATTCATGTCGATCGAATACTTACCCTTTCGTTACACTATCATACTCTATTTTTTTAACTGAACATGCACTTTGCCTTCTGTTGCATCTGCAGCAATTGTTGTTACGTATATGTTGTGCGTGTTGATTTTTGCCCATTACATACTCGACTCTCTGAAGGCGTTTTATGTGCACAAATAGCGCAGTCTGTCGGAGAACGGACGAAGTAAGAATTAATCGATTCGTTCAATTTCACTTCTGTGGTTCTCCAACAGGGTGCTCTACTTTCGCACATTAAACGCCTTCAAAGAGTCAAGTATGTAATGAGCTGAGATCATCGCGCACAACATGTCCGTAACAACAATTGCTGCGGACGCAGCTGAGGGCGAATTGAAAACAACCGTATGAAACACGTTGAAAACCATTTATCTCTTTAATCAATATTGTTACCAATAGAGAGTTGTATTTTATGGTAATTTTAATGGGAATTCTGGGAAAACTTTTCAACATAAACACAGAGACTTGCTCGCATGATTGATACTTCGCAGCCCGTGACAAGATATTCAGTAATAAAACAAATTTCACAATAGATAACAAGGCTGATTTTCACGTAAATATCAACAAAATGTTTCGGCTGAAAACTCAACCTCCCTCAGTAAAACATTGTAAAAATCTAAGAACGTAGAACTGTACCATTCCTTCCTTGTTACCTGCTTTGAAATTTGTTTTTATGATTGTATATCTTGTCACGGGCTGCGGAACATCAATCAAATCAAATTCATGACGTTTAAAAATGTCCACCTTTATTTTAGTTTTTTACAGAGCAATTGTTCAACAAAGCTGTCAAAAAAATTTACTGAATTTTCTTTGTGCTGCCGATAAAATTTAGTAAAATTTCTAAACAGATTTGACCAACAATTTTCTCTCTAAAAAAAAAAAAATGAAATCGCGGCAGAAATTTTGAAATGTCGCATGGCGCTCGTGATACTTTAGCCGTAGGGTGACTATGGATATTTCTCAATCCTATTGACACATCTCTCCTGATCAAAACATGTTTTTTTGATCGACACTCATGTCCGCTGACCCAACGCAAGGTACCCTAATCGATACATGCTTTGTAATGAACATACCTTGTCGACACAAATCTCCTGATCGACAGATGCCATCTAATTGACACATCTCCCCTGATCGGAACATGTTTTCTGTCGACACATGATCTTTGGCCTAACGCAAAGTACCCTGGTCGACACATGTTCACTGATCAACACGAATATGTCATCTCATTGACACATTAAATCGACCAATATCCTCCTGACCGGCACACCTCAACAACTGATCGACGCGTGCCTTATAATCGACACTTGTGCTCTGATGAACACGTGTACCGTGCTGGACATACGAAGATGGACACATGCACACCCGAGAAAAAAAAAACACAGTCACTCTACCGTTACAACGGTAGTAATGTCACACTCACACGGGATTCCACGGTAGTAGAACCGCGTGGATTTTAATGGACCACTAGACAAGGTATGAATTTAAGCAATCTGATACATGTTTCTTAATCAGAATTTTACGTAGAACNTTTTTTTTTTTTTTTTTACCGGAAAACTGTTGGGAATTTCTGACCAAAGATACCCTTGATTTTTGCTCTGATGACGAGGAAAAATTATTGAAATTTTCACGTCACCTTTCAGCCATTAGAGCGTCTTTTTATTCTTCGACCGATTCATGTCGATCGAATACTTACCCTTTCGTTACACGCAGACTTTCTATCATACTCTATTTTTTAAACTGAACATGCACTTTGCCTTCTGTTGCATCTGCAGCAATTGTTGTTACGTATATGTTCTGCGTGCTGATTTTTGCCCATTACATACTCGACTCTCTGAAGGCGTTTTATGTGCACAAATAGCGCAGTCTGTCGGAGAACGGACGAAGTGAGAATTAATCGATTCGTTCAATTTCACTTCTGTGGTTCTCCAACAGGGTGCTCTACTTTCGCACATTAAACGCCTTCAAAGAGTCAAGTATGTAATGAGCTGAGATCATCGCACACAACATGTCCGTAACAACAATTGCTGCGGACGCAGCTGAGGACGCATTGAAAACAACCGTATGAAACACGTTGAAAACCATTTATCTCTTTAATCAATATTGTTACCAATAGAGAGTTGTATTTTATGGTAATTTTAATGGGAATTCTGGGAAAACTTTTCAACAT